ATTGTTACGGCCCCTGGCCTCTTGAGGCTGTGCAGGCTCCCTTTTATTATGCAGGTTCAACTGTGAGAGCACACCTTCCTGATTGGCTGCCTGGAGGCTGTAGAAGAGCAGCTGCACCATTGGACCAGCAGAGGATGGTCAAGCCAATCAGACGTTGATGAGGCTCACCTGCACCATAAAAGGCTCCTGAATTCATTCCTCTAGTGGGGCAGCTAATTTGAAGAGGTTCTGTGAAGCTGCCTCCTCTCTTTTTTTTTTGGTGGTTGCAACTACTTTAAGCTAGCTTGGTCTTTGTTTGTTCAGTTTAGTTACTTTGACTTTGCTCCAGTTAAATATGAGTTAGAAGCCTGTGTTTGGGAGGCTGCGTGCTTCCCGCAGCCTCTCCTTTGTATGTGTTTTTTTTTGTGGTTTGTTTTGAGTTACTTTAAACTGACTTGTTTGGATTTTTTTTTGTAACTTTAATTTGCTCCTGACATTATTGAGTTTGTTAATCCCTCTTTCTTTTTGCATTAATTGGGTTAAATTGTATTGTTTTGTGAAACTTTATTTTGTAATAAATCATTTTTACTTTACACTGTCGCTCCGGACACATTTTATGTTACTGCCCCTGGACCCCTAGACCTTGGGGGCGTAACATAATTGGGGGCTTGTCCGGGATAACTCGTTAAGGAGGATCCCTGTGTCTGGAGTGTCTGGAATTAAGAGGAACATTTTGGGTTGTCTGTATCCAGCAATCATGTCTGTATCATTTAATCTGGAGCACTTTTTAGCTAACCCTTCTCTTGAGCTTATACATAGCTGCCGCAAGTGTGAATTGCTGCAAATTGTGGAGCACTTTAAGCTGCAGGTCCCAAAACAGGTCCTTAAACGTGACCTAAAAGCTCTGGTAGTGGGCAGGTTGATGGAGACTGGTGTGATCAAAGAACCTGATCTGCCTGAGGCTGCTGCAGTGCCAAGCCATAAGGCCTCGTCTGTGGAGGACCTCAAGGATGGTTCTAGTGTGGAGATAGGAGTGAGTGAACGGGGAAAGACACCTCGTACACTCCCTCGCTATGACCCACTGTCTTCTGTGAGCTCAGAAGGACGAGATGGAGCTCGTTTGAAGGTGCGGTTGGCACGTCTGCAGATGGAGGCTGAGGAAAAGGCCCAGGACAGAAAAGCTCAGCTGGAGCTTGAGATCAGGAGGCTGGAAATAGAGGCAGAGAAAGCTATACAGCTGCGCAAACTTGAGCTGGAGGCCCGGACTCAAGCGCCTTCTGCCTCTGTCACACCAAGTTCCACCTCCATGTCTGCTACGCCATTCGACATCAGTAAGTGCATTTCTTTAGTACCTGCTTTCAGAGAATCTGAGGTTGATTCATACTTTGCAGCATTTGAACGCATTGCTGGTGCTTTGCAATGGCCTAGGGAAACCTGGCCTCTTTTGTTACAATGTAAGTTTTCTGGTAAAGCTCAAGAGGTGTTGGCAGCGCTTCCGTTAAAGGATAGCTTGGATTATGATCTGGTTAAGGCTGCTGTCTTACAAGCTTATGAATTGGTCCCAGAAGCTTATAGACAGAAGTTTCGACAGCAAAAGAAAACTACAGGACAAACACATGTTGAGTTTGCCAGAGAGAAGGGCATTCTCTTTGATAAGTGGTGTGCCGCATCGAAGGTCAACAACTATGACACCTTACGTGAGCTAATATTGTTGGAAGACTTTAAAAAGTGCATTCCTGATCGGGTGGTGTTGTATTTAAATGAACAGAAGGTGACCACTCTTGCATCTGCTGCTGTTCTTGCCGATGAGTATGTGCTTACCCATAAGTCATCATTCATTGTTAATGAAAAGTCACATGTTAGCTCTGTGCCACAGTGTCCATTGGTTAAACCCACAGTTCCAAAGGAAAGCCGTGAGTGTTTCTATTGTCACAAACCTGGACATGTCGTTGCTGATTGTTTAGCTTTAAAACGCAAATCACAGCCAAATTCTGAACAAACTAAAGGTGTTGGTTTTGTGAAAAAAGAACCCTGTAATAAGAGCACTGGTTGTGGTGACAAATTACCTGATCCTTGTTTTGAACCATTCATTTTTGATGGCTTGATCTCGCTTGCATCTGATCTCTCTGATTTAAAACCAGTTCACATCTTGAGAGACACTGGATGTTCCCAATCAATCATTCTCTCAAATGTTTTGCCTTTCTCGTCTGAAAGTGCGTGTGGATACAATTCTGTTCTGAGGGGGATAGAGTTGGGCTATGCTCCACGACCAGTCCACAGAGTTTATATAAAATCAAAACTTGTCACCGGGTGTTTCCCTATTGCTGTATGCCCAGAGTTACCCATAGATGGGGTGGCTATGCTAATGGGGAACGACATTGCTGGAGGTTTAGTACTTCCAAGTCTGGAGGTTTTAGATAATCCTTTAAACCAGACAACCCCAGACTCACTAGACTCTGAGCTGTATCCAGCCTGTGTGGTCACCCGTGCACAGGCACGCAAAGACTCGGATATTTCAATTTCTGATTCTGTTTTGATGTCTCCATTTTCTACCGAAGGTGATGTACAACCCAAAAGTAACAGCATTTCGTTACTTCCAGATTTGGGGGAGCTGGAGGAGCCTGGTCCACTCTGGGAGGAAGCATCCCTCCCCCTGACCAGACAACATTTGTCATCTGCTCAACAAGCTGATGAGACATTACAAAGATGTTTCAAGCAGGTGGTAAGTGCTGAACAAGCCAATAAAGAGAAGCAAGCTTTCACTGTGGAACAGGGTGTGTTAATGCGTCAATGGTCTTCATCAGATGCGGGCAGCTCAGACTGGGGTAAGGTTAAACAGATTGTTATACCAGCCGCATATAGACAGAAGGTCCTGTCTCTGGCTCATGAAAGCCAGTGGTCCGGTCACTTGGGTGTTACCAAGACATACCAGCTTCTGTTAAAGCACTTTTTCTGGCCTGGTATGAAACAAGATGTTTCAAAGTTTTGTCGCAGTTGTCATGTGTGCCAAATTGCTGGTAAACCTAACCAGGTAATACCCCCTGCTCCACTGTGCCCTATTCCGGTGATGGACCAACCATTTGACCATGTCATAGTAGACTGTGTCGGACCTTTGCCCAGGACAACATGTGGAAATCAATACCTGCTCACAATTATGTGTACTGCCACTCGATTCCCTGAAGCCATCCCTTTGAATAAAATTACAGCGAAGTCTGTGGTTAAAGCTTTGACCAAGTTCTTTTCTGTGTTTGGTTTACCAAAAACACTACAAACAGATCAAGGAACGAATTTTCAGTCAAAGTTGTTCAAGCAGGTAGCTAAAACCTTGAACATTAAGCACATTGTTTCATCTGCTTACCACCCAGAGTCCCAAGGTGCTTTGGAACGATGGCATCAGACCTTAAAGTCAATGTTGTGCAAGTACTGCCTGGAAACTGGAAAAAAACTGGGATGAGGGGGTTCCATTTGTATTGTTTGCTGCTAGGGAGGCTGGTCAAGAATCCCTTGGTTTCAGTCCAGCTGAACTAGTATTTGGTCACACCCCCCCGTGGCCCTTTAAGAGCGCTTAAAGAATCTTTCTTGGTTCCTGCAGAAGGTTCTAAAAAAAGTGTGACTAAGTATGTGCAAGCCTTTTGTGAGGGCCTAAGCCAAGCTAATGTGCTAGCAAAAAAACATCTAGCTGACTCCCAGAGAAGGATGAAGCATCATTATGATAAAACATCCGTCAAAAGAGTTTTTCAAGTAGGAAATCAGGTTGTTGCACTTCTACCTATTACTGGTTCGGCCTTATCCGCCAGGTTCGATGGGCCTTATGAAGTTCTGGAGAGAATAGGGGAGCATGATTACGTCATTGGTACCCCAAATCGACGGCGCAAGACTCGCGTCTGCCATGTGAACATGCTTAAGTTGTACCACTCCCGATCTGCTCCAGAACCTAATAGGGTGTGCGCCCCAATTGTAGTTGCAACTTCACTAGAAGTAGATGAGTCAGACAATGTTGACGGTTTAAGGGTGAATTATCCCATCTGTTCAAGTCCTCGCCTCCCAAACTCAGAAATGCTAAAATCTCTGGCGAGCCAGCTTGACCACTTATCCCCTAAACAGCAAAAAGAGATAATGGACCTAATCAGTGAGTACACATGCCTGTTCAATGATGTACCAACACGTACAACAGTGCTAGAACATGACATAGATGTTCAAAGTGCAAAGCCAATCAAACAGCATCCTTACCGTGCTAATCCCACAAAACGTTCTCTAATGAGACAGGAAATTGAGTACCTGCTTGAGCATGGTCTAGCCAAACCTAGTCAAAGTCCCTGGAGCTCACCCTGTTTGTTAGAGACCAAGTCAGATGGTTCACCACGTTTTATCACAGACTTTCGCAAGGTAAACTCTGTCACTGTACCTGATGCCTATCCTCTCCCTAGGATTGAGGACTGTGTAGATAATATTGGAGCTGCAAAATATGTTACAAAATTGGATCTTCTTAAGGGTTATTGGCAAGTCCCCTTGACTGAACGGGCTTCCAACATTTCAGCTTTTGTGACCCCAGATAACTTTTTGCAGTACACGGTTATGGCATTTGGTATGTGTAATGCCCCTGCTACTTTTCAGAGGCTGATAAACATAGTACTGTGTGGCATCTCCAACTGCAGTGCTTATTTAGACGATCTGGTGGTATATACTGAAACCTGGTGGGAACATTTGCAAACACTATATCGAGTATTTCATAGTTTGGCCCAAGCTTCCTTGACCCTTAATCTGGCAAAGTGTGAATTTGGCAAGGCCACTGTAACATATTTAGGAAGAGAGAGGTAGGCCGAGGGCAAGTCCATCCCCTCAATGCCAAAACACGACGTGAGCTGCGTAGATTTCTGGGCATGGTTGGCTATTATCGGAACTTTTGCAGAAACTTCTTTTCAGTAGTTCAACCGTTAACCAATCTACTTAGCCCAAAGACTGACTTTGTTTGGTCAGATGAATGCCAAGATGCTTCTGAGAGGGCCAAATTTCTTCTTTGCTACACCCCAGTACTTGCTGCACCTGATGTGACCCGACCTTTCAAACTGGAGGTGGATGCCAGTGCTGTCGGGGCTGGTGCGGTGCTAATACAGGAAGATTTGGAGGGTTTAGATCATCCTGTTTGCTACTTCTCCCGAAAGTTTAACAAGCATCAACTAAATTATTCCACCATTGAAAAAGAAACCCTGGCTCTGTTGTTGGCTCTTCAGCACTTCCATGTGTACCTTGGGTCCAGTAGTTTGCCGATTGATGTATTTACTGATCATAATCCATTAGTATTTCTGTCACGCATGTACAACCACAATCAGCGCCTTATGCGGTGGGCATTATTGCTACAAGAATACAAACTCAACATCCGACACAAGAAAGGAACAGAAAATGTTCTTGCAGATGGCCTTTCCAGGTTGTGAGTATGCTTCGTTTGTTGTTTTTTTTTTTTCTTGCACTAAGTATTTACAAAACATGGTTTTGTAATTTAAGGGGGAGAGTGTTACGGCCCCTGGCCTCTTGAGGCTGTGCAGGCTCCCTTTTATTATGCAGGTTCAACTGTGAGAGCACACCTTCCTGATTGGCTGCCTGGAGGCTGTAGAAGAGCAGCTGCACCATTGGACCAGCAGAGGATGGTCAAGCCAATCAGACGTTGATGAGGCTCACCTGCACCATAAAAGGCTCCTGAATTCATTCCTCTAGTGGGGCAGCTAATTTGAAGAGGTTCTGTGAAGCTGCCTCCTCTCTTTTTTTTTGGTGGTTGCAACTACTTTAAGCTAGCTTGGTCTTTGTTTGTTCCTGTTTGTTCAGTTTAGTTACTTTGACTTTGCTCCAGTTAAATATGAGTTAGAAGCCTGTGTTTGGGAGGCTGCGTGCTTCCCGCAGCCTCTCCTTTGTATGTGTTTTTTTTTGTGGTTTGTTTTGAGTTACTTTAAACTGACTTGTTTGGATTTTTTTTTGTAACTTTAATTTGCTCCTGACATTATTGAGTTTGTTAATCCCTCTTTCTTTTTGCATTAATTGGGTTAAATTGTATTGTTTTGTGAAACTTTATTTTGTAATAAATCATTTTTACTTTACACTGTCGCTCCGGACACATTTTATGTTACTGCCCCTGGACCCCTAGACCTTGGGGGCGTAACAATGTTTGTCACCCCTTTTATGACATCATACAATCCAAATGGGAAAG